TGCAGATATTAGAGCTATGCCTGCGTGTAGACCTGTGGATTAAGTGTGTGTGTGTACACTTATTTCACTTATAATTGGATTGATAACATCACAATCGTGTGTATATATATGTGTGTGTGCACACATGATCAGCTGAGTTCAAATAAGTCCCATAAAGGCCATAGTTATTATCAAGACAAGCTTTTACTATGACGGGAGGAACTCACACAAGAGAAAGGCTGGCCCAGAGATATAGCAGCCTCCAGGGGGTTGTTTTTTCCCCCTCCCTGGCTCTAGGTGTATGAGGCAGAGTGCTGCCTGCCTGTTTAGACTGTGCTATACACCTCTACTTTCTGCATTTGAGGTATATGTATTATAGCCTCTACTTTCTGCATTCTCTCTCTCTTTAATGCAGAAAGTTGAAGATAATAATACATATACCGCTAATGCAGAAACACTCTCTCTCACACACACACTTTCTCTCTCATCTATTTATCTATCTATCCACAGATTAATTGACAGGTCTATATCAAAATACATGTATATACTTCTAGTTTCTGAATAAGCAGTATATGAACTATATCTAATGTATATACTATATTTATACCTACAAAGAGCGAGAGACAGAGAGAAATGAATTACAGCGCCATATAGGTATGTATATTTATACAGAAGTAGAAATGTAGGTGTCTCTATACTGCTAATCTACCTATATGGCTATTTACCTATGGATAATGGCTGTCTATATCTATTGCCCCAATACCTTTCCCGTGCTCTCTCGCTATTTAGCGAGAACTATCCGCGTCCTATACATAGGTGCATGCCTATCTCTAGCTAGCGATACAATTTCTGGCTTCCGTCACGCTGTGTGGGGTTGTAAGTAGATCAGGAAGAGATCACAGCCCTTGGTGTTATCCTCCACTGAGCCCTGGTGTTTAATATGAGCCATTAGTCGCGATTAAGATTGGTAAACTCGTGTTAGATTCAGCTAGATTCCTCCTCCCCCCAGCACAGCCGCACATGCAGCCCAGTTAGGGTGGATCTCAGACACTGGGCTGCTTTCTCCCTTCAACCAGATCCTTCAGGTGGCAGGCTCCGGCCCTGGTCCCCCGGGGGGAGGGTTGGCTTGAAAGACAACAGCTCCAGCTCCGAAGGGAACAGGCTCAGCCTGCCGCAGTGTCCCTGCCTATGGGAGGGATGGTGCAGTCAGAAAGGTCCCCAGCCGCAAGGCCAAGCGGATACGCTGGGAACGTGAAGGCTGGTGTGGGTCAAATTCCTTCCCACTGACCCTGCCCAGCATCGGGCGCCTCACAGCAAAGCCTTCCTTCGGGGGGGCCTTTGGAGAGTGGGTAGCAAGTTATTGTAGCAAAATCTTTCGAGAGCGTAAGATGATTGGCCCGATTCTCTGTATAATTGGATTTGATAACATCACTCTCAGCTAGATAGATCAGATCTAGCGACCTATGTGCGCTATACAGCGGTAGATAAGACCGGTTTCTTGCGGCATTGAGAAGCAAAACGCAAACCACTTTTATTTAGCTCCGAATTGTCCTGCAAACACCTACATTCCCTGGCTAAGGAGAGGAGAAAAGCGGCAGCACCGTTCCTTGCTAACGGCTAGCCGCCTTCTGCTTCAGCCCTCAGATGCCCGTCCGGTCCCACCCAGAGCTTTCCTGAAACTGAAAAATCTGGCCTCTTGCAGATAATTCTTTAGGTTGTTTTCGAAATCACGTAGCCAAGGCATGTGGGGCGCTTGGTGCTTTTAGCAAAGCTGATTCAAGAGGGGGAGGGGGTCTTTTAATTCTGTTAGTGTCTTAAAAAAAACAATCCATAAAATACCTGGTAATTTACAGTTTATAAAAATGCCTGAAAGTCTCACTAGCAGCAGGAGGAAAGAACAATGCAAACGTTAATGAGACGTCACAACGAGCCATGCACCCCAAAGCAGAGAGGAAAAGAACCAGGGAGGTGGGGATGCAAAGCAAACAGACTTTTGATAGCGCGGTTGCAACGCAGAAGATCTGTCCTTTTACTGCTGTTTAGTGTTTATTCCTTCGGGCAATAAACCTGCAATTTTCCTGAGTAGTGGCTGTTTTTGCTGTTTGTTTTGCTATTGCAAGGTTTGAGGGTAAGTTTTGTTTTGGCGGGGGGTGGTTATGGCGGAGAGGAGGGCTGCGTATTTTGTTTTTTAAGGCGTTTTCTCTGCCCATTGATCTGATTTTTCTCTTTATTTCTCCACTATTTCTTTTCGCATTTCATTCTATTATTTCTAATGCGGGGGAGGGGAGAGAAAGGGGGTTTATTTGGTCTTTACTCCGAAATAAAAGCCCCTTCAGGTCAAGTGAATGTCGCTTTATTGACTTCACCCCGAATTACCAAAAAGAGACAGAGTCCCTGGCTTTACCAGTCTGCCTTCTCTTTAGAGACAGCAGCTTGTGCCATCAATTGCGTTCGTCGAGTTTATCGGTAATTTCTATGTAACCGAGCCCCAAATAAATTACCCCCCACGTCCAAAATGTCAAGTTTGAAAAGAACCAGTTTCAGGAGCTGTGGATCGCAAGAGCGAATGAAGCTGCGGTGGGTCCAGTCCAGAGATCAGCCCAAAGAGGAAAAGAAGTGTCATCAAAGTAAAGCTAGTTAATTTCAAGTCATTCATTAAGGGCTTGATCCCAACCCCATTAAGTCAGTTGGCTGTGGATCTGGTCCTAAGCAAGAAAAACAGAACATTTGATTTAGGACACCGCTGTCCATGAAATATATCTGGCTATTTCGCTCCTCCATTAGCTTCAGCTAATCCCAACATACGTTTTAAAAAAACACCATATTAGTTCCTTATAATAGGAAAAGCAGACTGCAGTGTTGGCAGATAAAAATCCCACTGTATAACGGGTAGGAAGAAAAGAGAAAGGAAGACTTGAATTATATTTATCTTCATCAGCACGAAATTCCTTCGACCTCCAAAAAAACTGTCAAAAATCATATTCTCCTTGCAAAAATCGCCTCCGGGTATTTTTAAAATTATTACTATTATTATTTTAAAGATTTCTTTAAAACAAGGGGATTGAATTTAGACTGGGATAAAGGATTTCTTGGAAGCAGAAGCCAAGAACAATAGCAGCTCCTTTCAAGTTTGCACTGAACTATGACATTGTTAAAAAAAAAGAAAGTGAAGATATTCAAGTAAATTATCCTGGACTGCAGGGATACGAGCTATGGCCGTTTGGAGAGGGGGAAGATCTCGTTGTAAATATAGGGTCCTATTATGCCTTCCTTGCTCACCCTACCATCCCATTGGCACTGCAAAGGGAGTTGGGGAACCAAATAATGCACAGTTGGGCCCTCTATGGGCTGATCCAAAGCCTAATGCTGCCAATGGAAAGATTCCCACAGACTTTGGATCGGGGGCCCTATGTCCCCCATAGAGGTGTCGCACACTCTTACCATGTATTACACCGCATGCTATTTTATTTGCTGTTCATACAATTGTGAAGACCATGTACAAATAACATACATGTTTTATTTTTGGTTCGGTTTTTTTTTTAAAGGACAAACACACAAAGGGGGCAAAAAATCATAATTACCATTTAATACAGTGCAGAAGAAAATTAAAATAGGTGTCACCGAACTGTACAAAGGCGGGACAAAAAAAGGGGGGGGACGGGAGGAGGAAATAATCCTTCATTATATATATATTTATATAAAACACGGGGCGGATTGTCTTTACAGGCAGAACAGACGTTTTAAAAAATGTACAATGGCTAGCTAAAAAAAAAATCTATATGGCAAATATTGCCAACAAAGTTACACCACTTTAATACTGATCAACTGAGGCTCCTGGTGTCTCGATTACTAGCAACAAAAAAAATGTAGAATAAATAACAGGATGAGCCTGGCTATTTTTTTTCTCAAAGTGCCTTATTCTCTCTGCATAGGGTCTGATCCTGCAGTCTGAGGCAGGCAAATAACTCCCTTTGGGAGATTTTACCTAATGCGGGGTTGCAGGCAAAAAAAATAAAAATAAAGTACGTCTCTAAAGCAGGGGCTAGAATGGAGACTAGGATAAAGCCAATGGGAGGGGGTTTGTCGTTTTGTTGCCCTTATTGAGACGCCAAACCCCCGCACTTCCTCGTGAGCCAATGTTTAGTCCTTAGTGTATAGCGCTGATTCACACATTCCCTAGCCCAACAGGGAGAGGGAGACCACAAAATATACTGCAGAATTTGGAGAATAGGCTACAAATGCACAATCACATGAAAAGAGGGTATGTGGAGTTCTTTTCTGCTCTCGGGGAAGTCAATAGCCCCACACCCATAGACTTGGATGGTGCAGGAAAGCCCCACACACACACCAGTAAAGAGCTGATAGGGAATAACACAGGCACATAGAGGAATTATTTTCCCTTTTCTTTTCTTTTCTTTTTTTAAGACAGTGAGGGATTGGAAGAACCCTTGGCCAGAAATCCCATCAGTGTTCTGAAGAAGATTCCAAGCAATTCCTTTAACCCTTCAGTTACACATCTCAACCAGACCATTTCCAAAAGATTTCCATTCTCCTTTTAAAGCTCATCGCGCCTAGAGTTCTGGTCCAAGCAAACCCTTCCCGATCGCTTTCATCCCATATTTTCCGGATGGGTTTTTTTTTCTTTCTTTTCTTTTTTTTTTAACACTCACGTTTTTTTTTAAAAAAAAATACAATTTTGGATTTTTTTCCCACCCCATCAATAAAAAATAAGAGCTCGTATTAGCAATGAAACAGACACGTGATTCTTGGAAACTTAGTCAGCTCACAGCCCCCGAGCGATGCTACACACGAAGGAAAGAGACAGCACCCCGTGTTCACTTTACCCTTTCCAAAAAGGCACGTGCATCCCTGCTTCTTTAGCTTAGTGTTAATTCATTTCAAAATGTTCCCAAACGCCAGGCTTCTGCGGATGGCTTATATACCTCCAGAGTAAAATCAGTCTAGTTATTTGGATGTCCCTTTAGCACAGAGGGTCTTTTGGGAGGTCCTTTCCACATAGAAAGTTTCCTTTGTGTCGTGATTGGGGGGGGTCCCCAAAAGTTGGCTTATTTGCCTGTTATCACATAACACACGGCTTGATGTCTTGGTATGTCACTTGCTGATGATAGTAAGATCCACTCCCTGCTGAATGCATCGAGGAAGAGGCCATCGCGTTGAAAGAGAAGACGAATTCTTTCCTGTCGCACATGCTTGGAGACTGGGAATGATACCGAGGGATTCCTGGAAGAAATCGGGGATCAGAATTAAAATGACGCTTTAGCAAGTGGCTAGATCAGTAATCCTATAGAGAGGCCTAAATCAAATGAAGACGCTTGGGGGTTCCCTACCATCACCCCGTGCTGGCTGGGGGGCATTTGGGAGGAGGGTTTTCACTGCACTGAAGGGAACACGCCAGTTCTGCTTTATCATCCCAGGGGTTTTTGTTGCGCACAAACAGGTGCTGTCATGGCAGTCCTTACTCAGAGGAAATTCCCATTGACTTTAATGGGAGTTTTGCCCGAATGCGAATTGCAGGATGGGGCGGTATATTTCCTGGCTGGCTAAGGAAGCAGAAGCATTTCGAAGATGTGTGTTTACATTCTGCGTCCTTGATGTACAGATTGAGGGCCTGATGCTCCTTCCGTGGGAGTCAACGGGGGAGGGAAAGGCCCCTTGATTTCCAGTGGGACCTACCGGGCTTTGACTGCTTACCCCTCCCTCGCCCCCTACCCCTGAGCTCTGACAACGAAAAGAAGAAGAGTTAGCAAACGTGGGGGTCAAATGGAAGGAGCCCAGAGAGCCTGGGGTTTTAAAGCAGAACTCCCATCGAAATCAAAGTGAAACCTCCAAGAGATTTCCCCCAGTGACACCCAAAGCAAAGCTATGCTATATTAAAGCAAGCCACGGCAGTGGGAACAAGGATAATACTACTAGTAAGCGCAAGGGTGCCGAGAGCCTTCCGAATTATTCATGGTTTCCAGCACAAAATCAATCAACTCTGAAACGTTTCCTTCTATCTAACCGATCTTTGTAAACCAAACCCAAGTGCTCCCATGTTGGTGCCATTGTTACACGCTTGGTGTTTAAAATCTTGTATTAAAAACCCCGTAGCGTGTCTCTCCGATTTGGAATAAATGATCGTTTGCAGTTAATTTCGAATAATTAATCCGGACTAGTCCCATAGAATTTTGCAGCTAATCTGAAATGATTCATCCGGTCTATTCCAATTATATTTTCGCAGTTGATCTAAAATTATTAATTTGGATTACTCCAGGCTCTGCAGTTTAGTTCCCTTAACAGTATGTTTACATGAGGGGCTGAGCGTTCCACCTGCCATTGGATAGGTGGGAAAAGAGATCTGCCGAGGGCGACACCGCAGTGTTCACTCTTGCTGTTCCATGGCCGCTATTCCGGTTCACCCTTATTTTATGGGACTCCGTTTACACGCCAGACTGTACGTTTCTCCAGCAGGCCCGCATTTCAAAGCCCAGATGGGCCCCCCCAGGAGATGTGTTAAAAATACAGTTCCCCCAAATAGCACTCGATTAAAATGGCGAGAGAAATAGAGGGAAAGAGGCAGCGATTTTTTTAAAAGGCTGCTGAAGTTAATTGTCAGGTTTCAACACAAAAGTCAGGCCACGGAGAAACCCTGGGTTTAGCCCTATTGAAAAACAGCAACTCTGTGTGGCAGTTCTAAAACTTTCCTGCTTTGCGATCACTTCGTTTCTATTCTTACTGCGAGCCCTGCTACTCCAACAGAAAATATGATCGAGCGGGCCACTAATCCAGTTCATCGTGTCTACAGCGTCTCGATACAAGGACCCGATCGAACAGAATTGCCACTGAGGTCAGAGCTGATCCAGAGATCTGGATTCATTTTTGGTTCGACGCTTTTAGTGCCCGATCTAATCGATTAATTCAGATCGGGTGAAAATATATCGGAACATTTCCTCCTCTTCGGGTCCCACAGTCACCCCCGCTCCCTTCTCAATAGCACAGGGCCTAGGACGAAAGTGCACACGGGACACGAAAGCACCAACCTCCGCGCAGAAAAACATGCCTGGAAAAACAGCCCGGCGGAACTGGTTTCAACGCCATGCATGACATGGGTGAAATCCCGAAATCCTGGCCTCTGGACAACCCCCCCCCCGGCCTGCAATGGAGCCGGGATTTCACCCTAGGTCCCCTGCAATGGGATGGTGCAAACAGCGCAGCGTGGGACGGTCCCCACCGCAGGCAATGGGAATCCCCAGCAGAGCCGCTGGCTGCTGGGCCCGAGATAACCTCTTCCCGGAGCTTGCCGCTCCAGCCGGCCGCTGCCCTCCTAAACCCTCGCCTCGCCACTGGCGTGTTTCCTTGAAGCAAGCCCTGTCCGGGAGTGGCTCAGCCCCTGGCCACAACATCTCCTGGCTCCTAGAAACCGCACCCCCCCTCCCCAGGTGAAATCGCCCCTCGCGGGATATTTCCCTCCCTGCAAATAATAGCTGGTCTCCCCAGCACAAGGGGAGTAGGTGCGTTGGTTTAATTCACCCTGGCAAGGAAAAAAACCATGATCCCTGGCTGGGAAGAGTCTAACCTAAGGCGCGGGATACAGAACTCTAGATTACTTTACTTTGGGGTCATCTATCGGGACATCCTCCTGTCCCTAGCCAAATTCCCCCCTAAACTACTGCAGCGTTAGCTCTGTTTGCAAAATCGACGGCCTTTCACGGCTCTAATGTGAGTGCTTAGCTGTGGCTATAGCTCGTCAGCTCTACCGATCTGCTTTGCAGAGGTAGGAAGCGATCGTTAATGTACCAAGCCAGCAATTACTCTTGCTTGTTATATAGGCTGCGAAGAGACTGCAGAGAAATAACCCCAAATTGGAGGAATCCAATGTAAACCAGAGTGCCCCGAAAAAGGTGGGAGGAGTGATATCAGATTTGGGGCCTGAACTCCTCAATGGAATTTGAAATCAGAAAGATAGATAACTAAAATATCACACACACATACACACACACACTTGTATGTATCTGCCTATGTTTCACATTTAGACATGACAGATTGAAAATCTTTTCCTAAAGGACGCGGAAATGGTGTCACAAAACTTACACAACAGCCGTGGGAGAAAAGAGGCAGAGGCCGGGGCCCCACGCCTCTATATGCGTGTGTATGTGCTTAAGTGTGCGCGCGTGCATGTCCATCCATGTAAGTGTATGTGTGTGTGTGTGATGCCTGAGCATACAAACACTTGCAGGAAGTGTTCGTACGGTCACTTGCATGGATCTATTGCATGGCTGGCGTGAGATCACTTGCATGCATGTTGCGCCTACGTTGCATGCATGCTCTATGGCCTGCTCCTCAGCAGTGCACCTGGGAAGGCCCCGGGCACCGGCCCCCCACCTCCCCCGTTACCTTGCAGCTCTGCGGCGTTGTGGCTGTTCTGGTGCAGGTAGGACTGGTCCAGGGAGTGCGTGGAGAGGCCCGAGGAGAGCGGGTTGGCCGCGGGGTTGCAGGGGGACAAGGACTGCTGCTTGATGTAGGGCGCCCCGCTGTTCAAGGCGGCCGAGGCCGAAGGGGCCCAGGGCGAGGCCGAGCTGGAGTAGACCGAGTGGGGCTCCATCACCCCGCCGCTGGCCAGCAGCGGGGAGGCCGGCACGGAGCTCTCGTGGTGCGGGTAGTCGCCCCCGGAGGAGCCGGTGCAGCTGCCCATGTAGGAGTGCCCGCCGTTGGCAGGCAGGTGGGGCACGGAGTGTCCCCCCAGGCCCATGCTGTCCACGTTGCTGGGCAAGTGCCCGTTCATCATGCCCAGGCCCCCATCCAGGCCCAGGCTGTTGGGGCCGCAGGAGAGGCCCCCGGCCGTGCCCTGGAAGCCGTAGCTCTCCGGGGAGAGGTGGTTGAAGCCCAGGCTGTTCATCATGCTGTACATGGGCTTGAGAGCTTGGCATTTCCTCCTGAAGCCGCGGGGCCTCCTGCGGAAGGAGCCTTCCTCGAACATGAACTCGCTGGCCGGGTCGATGGTCCAGTAGTGGCCCTTGCCCGGGCGGCCCAGCCCCTTGGGCAGCTTGATGAAGCACTCGTTGAGCGAGAGGTTGTGGCGCACGGAGTTCTTCCAGCCCTGGTAGGAGCCGCGGAAGAAGGGGAAGCGGCTCTGCAGGAACTGGTAGATCTCGCTCAGCGTCAGGCGCTTGGAGGGCGAGCTCTGGATGGCCATGACGATCAGGGCGATGTAGGAGTAAGGGGGCTTCTCCGGCCGCCGGATCCCGGCGTTGCTCTTCTTGGCTTTGCCGCCGCCGCCCGCGGGGGTGCTGCCGGCGGCGGAGGAGGCGGACTCCATGGCCGAGCCCGGCTGCTGCTGCTGCTGCTTCTCCAGCGCGGAGGACATGAGGCTGCAGCCGCCGTGCGCCGCGGGAGGAGGGGGCTGAGAGGACGGAGCCTGTTGTACCTCTGCAGTCATCGACAGCGGCGTCCCCAAACCAGCTCCGGCCCCCCTCTGCTCGGCCCTCCTCCCCCCCTGCCCCGGCCGCGCTGCTGGGGGGTGTTATTTGCCCCCCCCTCTCTCTAGGTGCAGGGGGTCTTTCCACCAGGAGCCTGCACCCCCTTTGAATAAACAAACGCCAGTGACCCCTCCACCCTGCCCCTAAATCCGAGCCCCGCGGCAAGGCTGAGCCAGAGGCGAAGGGACGGGGCCGCTGTCCGGGCTCGGGTGCGGAGCAGAGAAGCCCCCTGGAATTGGTTTTTTTTTTTTTTTTTTCTCCCTACGTTGTTTTGCAAGAGGCTGGTCTCCCCCAACGCCGCCTCCTGGCTCTCAGCTCGGCTGCTGCTGCTGGGAGTTGCTTTTCATCTCAGTCGGGCTGGTTCTGCCCCCAGCCGAGCCGATCGCCTTTAACTTTATCTCGTGTCAGCGGCGTCTGTCGGATCTTGACAGTCAGACGTAAGAAGCAAGAGGAGTTCCCCGCCCCAACCAACTCCCCCACCTCCCCTTTTCTCCCCCCACCCCTTCGCTCAAGCTCAGCTCTGGTGGGCACTTAAAGGGACCTTTACACTCCGGCCAACTGCTTTGCAACTGACTCACAGGCGGCTCCTTCTCGTATTGGGCGTCAATCCCTTTTCAATATGCCCCCCCCCCCCGAGGCGGTCTGTGGGGGTGATTTGGGAGAGGGGGGGCCGGGAGAGAGGGCGTTTTATTGTCTTTATTTTGCCTCGCAGGTCGCAACATTTTTAAGTCACTAACATTTTCCCCTGGACTTCTCTGATTGTCAGCCCCATCTTTCCAAAGCCCAGTTGAGGACGGTGAAGGCAAAGTTGCTCTGAACGAGGCAGTTTTCTGAGCTCTTACCGTCTCTATTCTTAAATCATAACAGAGATCGCAAGGGAGCGGGGCCGGGGGGGGGAGGAAGAGTCAACGCGCCTGCAGGATTTAAAAGAGACAAAAATCCAAGTAGCAGCAGGTTTAAGTCCCCGGGCGACTCGCGTATAGCCCGAGAAAAACAGCTGTTTGCTGGCTCTGAAAGCCACGAGGGCTGTTTGTCCACAACTATGAAAAAAGGGGAAATGCGGCTCGCCCTAGAGTGCGAATCTAATTTGAAATGTAGCAGGAGTGAAGCTCGCCCACTTAAAAAACCCAGTTTCTTATTTCTTTTGAAGATAGACAGGAACATGGGCAGGATGTTTATACAGCGAAATGTAAACATCTTCTCAGGGGTTCTTTAATAAAAAGAAATCAGAAAGAAAAGTCCCTGGTAGTTCGCATAGAGCCCCTTGCTGCGCCATATAAAATAGCGCCCGTCGCCTGATTTGCGGCCGGGTTAGACTTTTGTTGTTGTTTGTTGTTGTTGTTGTGATACAAATATGTGTTGATTTTTTTCAGCTATGCCCAGACTTTGATCCTCAGAAGTAATGGCTCTCTCTCGCTCTCTCTCTCTCTCTCTCACACACACACACACCACATGGGGGGGGGGGGCGGGGAGGAAAAGGAGGGCAAAGCCTTCCTCAGACCCCCACCCCCAAAAAGTCTGGCCATCTTTTCATCAGTAAAGCTGTCACTCCCTAATCAAGGTAAGTCACTTTAAACTTTTGTCGCCTTCTTACCAGGCGCGCGTGGTAACTTTTGCACAATTAAGCCGTGAGAGGGGCTTGTGCGGAGGGCCCGGGGGGGGGGTTGGCTTTCACAGTTCATCGCTAGAAACTGAGCAGATGTGCTGGCTGTTGCCGTTTTCTTTCTTGTCAAGATGGGGGCGGGGGGGGGGGGAAAGGCCAGATAGTACGAAAAAAATCCAATTGAGCTTGTGCTGCTGCTGCCCGTTCTCGGCTCTGCAAAGTATCTTAACCGAGTGAAAGGCTGAAACCCCCCTCCGCCTTCTCTCCTTCCTCCTTTAATTCCCCCTTCTGCCCAGATTCGCTTTTAAGGGTTTTATGATAATTTAATACCTTTTAAAAGAAAGATAGATACTGATCGGGTTTCCAAAATCCCTGTTAACGTTATTTGCAGCCAGTCGTTACTAGCCTCTAGGGCGCCTGACACATCTGTGATACCACCAACAGGGATTTCACATCAGGATTTTTTTTTCTTCTTCTTTTCCCCTTGCAACACTCAGAAGCAATCTCCAGCGTTTGCAGGGGGGAGCAGAACGTGTGTTTCCACGGGAAACTAGCGCATTTCGGGACTTTTGCAGCTCAGTTCAGATCTGTCAGTGTGCCTCGGTATAGAGTTGTGTGTAACTGGCCCTTAAGCATGCTAACAATACAGAAAAGTGAAGCATCGATGTCACGTATCCACTGCAGAGAATGATTTTCTGGTTGGTATTTCACAGCCGGTCAAATGGCCTAAACTGCGAGCGAGAAAGAAAGCTCTCTAGTAAATAGCCTGGATTCAGGGCCTGGGTTGCAGGATAATCCACATATAACTGCAGTGTGTCAGGGGGCTCTCAGTTTCTATATGGCCTTCTCCCCACTCCCCCGGCTATAGAAATACGGTGAAATGTTCCCATAAATTGATATTATACTGAGGAGGGACCATCCCCCAGCGCAGAAAATCCCGTCCCACATCTCCATCTCAAAGCCGGAAGACACATGGTTTAAAATACCATTCTATGCCAGAAAAAGCATAGAGCAAACGGGGATAACAAATAGTGAGTGTATCGTGTGTTGTTGCTTCATTTAAAAAAAATCAGACATTTCCCCAGCTCTTCTTTAGTAAGTGAGCATATGCTTTCTCTGTTTACAGATCCCAAATTTATAATGCAAAATAACCTTCTTAAATCAGCCTTTAATTTTCTTGTGAGCATGTCTAACCTATTTTTCTCCATTGCAGCTATTATGTTATAGCTCAAATTATTATTTGTCTTGATTTCTTTAAAATATGAAATCGCATTGTAGATACTTTCCTCCCTCTCCCTCCCTCCCTCCTCCCACTTTGCTTGAAAGAAATATAAAGAATGAATTTGGAAATTAAACAATTCAGAACCCAGATTATATATGTCAATTCCAGAATTCTAAACAAGGGATGCAAGGTATTAAGATCTTTTGCAATTGTTTCTGGGGTGCCGATAAGGACAGATTAAAAATAAAATTCTGGCTTTACAGCTTGCATTGCAGTTCAAGTTAAAATGTTGGTAGTAATTTACATGAGGAAGTATCTCCACTATTGTATCAGGAAAAAAAAAACAACAATCATCAGCTGAAGCAAACATGACGCTTGTTTCAGTGGTCTTAACGAAACAATTTTCTAAAAAATAAAACAATCTTTTGCTTAATTGTTTTCTTTGTTTCCCCCAGTGACTTTTGGGAGTGTGAAGATTTTTTTCCGACGTATTTATCTGGTAAACTTAAAAAAAACCCATATAATCTACTCCGTATTTCATAGGCCTAGCTGTGGGAAAGGAAGAAATATTACATCGTTTTATGTAGTAAACTAACCCGTGTATTTAGTAAATAACAGATTTTGGGAATAAAGGCCAAGACATGATTTATTGTATATAGCACAAGGATTTTATTTTACAATAAATTAACCCTCAGTGTCACTCTTATTATAGACTGAGAGGACCATGTTGTTAGGTAACTTGTTATCTTCAGTGGTTTGTTGGTTATAAAACGTCAAAATTATTCAAAATATGGTCAAGACCGGATTCTTAAAGGGCAAATAGGATATGTCTTAAATTCCTGCTCTAGAAAAATGTCAGGCTGGTGATTCATGTAGATAGATATTTCCCTGTATAAAACAAACAAAATAAAATATAAGATCCCCCCTCCTCATCTGTGGCCCCGTCAGCAAAATAAACTAGATGGGGAACATATAATTTGGAGCAATTATTGTCTTTTTAAAATATGTTGCTACTTTGATGCAGATTTCACATCAGACGGTTGGGCTAAAAATCAGCCCAGTGGGCCTGCAATGTTTCCTTTTTTTTAAAAAATAACCCTCTGTTTTCAAATTAATTTCCAAAAGATATTTTTTTCTCCTTTTTTTTTTAAATCTGCAGTGCTTTGTGTAAAAATAGACAAATCTGAGCTTTCTTCCTTTTCCTGCACTGAAGGTATTTTTACTAGCTAATTGCTTAAGTGAACTAGACTCTGCAACAAGCCAGCCTGTAATCCGAGTATGGAAATGTATATAGGTAGTATTGTTGTAAGAAGACTGTGCAGTTGGGTGCTGCTTTGCTAAGAGGCCCATGTGTTTATCCGAGCGCAGACCACCCATGGAGAGGGCAGAGGCACGCGTGCGCCCCCCTCTCCACTGCCCCTGCTTTTCATTAACACCAGGGACTTCAGTTGGAGAAGCCCGCCCCCCTACTTCGCTTTCTGGAGGCGATCGCCCAAACTCCGTGCTTTAGCCCAGTGCAAACTGATGCCTAAACGTTTACATAAGGTAGGCGGGGAGGGAGCGATGGGGGCTGATTCAACCAGCGGGTTACAGACGGAGGGAGGAGGGCATTTTGTTAACTTGTAAATATTCCAGCCTAAAAGGTGTTGACAGGAGGGGGCACTATTTGGGGGGGGGCGTTTCGGGCAGCTCCTTGGCATCTCCTCTCTATAATAAGCTGTCCAGAAGAGGCTCCTCCAGGGAGAAAAGCCCGGGAGACGCTTGCTTCCCATCCCACCTTTAAGAGCCCAACTGCACGTGTGCAAAGCAGATTAACCAGCGAAGGTCTGGGCAAGGCTGGGGGGGAATGCAGAGCCGCAGGGCAGTTCTAGCATCCGCGGTCTGTTGCTATTATTAACGTTCGGACCCGGCGCAGTTTTGGGTCTCACGCACCATCCGCGTTGTAGCTTCTCCGGGTAGGGGAAAAAAACAAACCAACAACAAAAAACCACCATCGCTAAAAGCACCGTAAGTGAGTTCATGCAGGAAATATGTGGCGGAAAAGACAAGCTTTCCCGGAGCGCCGCTGATTTCCCTGGAGACCAGCAAGGCAAGAGAGCCAGCTTTAGCAACCCAGTCTTGGCCACAAGAGGTTAAAGGCAGAGG